AAGGGCCCCCCGGGACTGGCAGGGCTGGGCTGGCGCTTCGGTGGGTCTGCCCCAGCCTGGCTGCTCTGGGCCTCTGCTGGGGCTGCCGCCGGGGGCCACAGTGTGGGGGGGGACCCAGACCCCCCGCCCAGCAAGCGCACTGCACGTGGGCAGCGAGCAGCAGCCGGACTGTAACCCTTGGTCACCGCTGCCTGGGCCGAGCCCGAGTCTCTGCAGCCCTGCCCGGACCCCCAGGCCTCCGCCCCTTCACCCAGGGGCTGCCCTCCCCAATGGTGACCCCTCCCGCCAGGGTGCAGCTTGGCCCCTCAGCTGGGCAGCGCCCGGTGGGGTCGGCCCCACGGGCATTGGCTGGGCAGGAAGCTGGGGGAGCAGGGTGGGGCCAGCCCAGAGCCCCCTAAGGGACTTGTCAGGATGATGAGAGATGGCCAGCAGCCTGGGGACTAAGGGGTTAACTGCACCTCGCCAGGTGGAGGGGCCAATAGGAATGTAGGTGGGACCTGCAAATGGGGCAAAGGAATTTGGGTTTTTCCCTCCTGTCTCTCTGTGAGGGTCTGTCTACACCCGCCCGTTAACTCGAGCTAGGCAGGCAAAGCAGGAACCGGAGCTGCAATGAAGCCCGAGATTTCAGTATCCCGGCTTCATTTGCATGCTCCCGTCCGGTCGCCATTTTGAAATGTCACTAGCCCGACCTCCCTGGCGCGCGGCTACACACGGCACCGAAACGTTAATTCGAATTACGTCTTTCGTTCGAATTCACTGCTACTCCTCGGGGAATGCTAAACCCTCTCGGAGAAATCCGTCAGGTTTCAGCGGTTAAGGGTCGGGTTTGGGACCTGCTGTCTGGGCACGTTTTAAAGATGTTCTGGCTTGTCCTTGTACCTGCGTTCTAGGCCCACGGAGGTCTCCAGGCCCCCTCTCGTCATTCTGCCGGCCACAGGAATGTCGTGGCGATAAGAAAAGTTCTTTCTCTTCTTTTTATTAACGTGGGATTGGTTAATGGTGGGCCCTGATTTTTACTTTAGGGGGGAGATTTCCCCGATTCCTTCATGCATATTTGGGTGGTGGCAGTGGAAGTTCTATCCCAACAATCTAGGGTTTAAAGAGTTTGGGGGAAGTTTTCTACCAAAGCCTGGTAGCGAAGGTTTTGGGGTTCACTTGCCGGCCCCCACTTCTGTATTTATCGTGCCAGAGTGGGGAAGGGGCCACGGCAGGACTCCTGAGCAGCCCAGCCCCCGCCCGGCGCCAGGACCGTACCACGCTGCGGCGGGCGCACACCGGGCTAGGATGGCAGCTCTTTGGAGAAGGTGAAGGATCTGTGGCCAGGTAAGTAGGACTCCTCCTGCATGTCCCTGCAGGCCGCCTCCACCTTCAGCTCCACGTCCTGCAGGGGCAAAGCGCCTGTCACAGGGGGGCCACGGCTCTGGGGGGAGGACTGTGTGCAGCTGTGCTGGGGGAGGGGATGGCGCTGCATGTGTGTGTGTGTGTGTGTGTGTGTGTGTGTGTGTGTGTGTGCGTGTGCGTGTGCGTGCGTGTGTGTGCGCTGTCGTAAGCCATTCTAATTCTTTACCAGAAATAGTTGGCTTCCCTCTCTTGAGTACCGGGGATTGCTTCATGGATTAGCAGGACTTCAGAAATAATTCCTTTAGCCTTTTCTGCCTCTGGGGGCTCAGAGGTAGGTTGTAGATTCCTTCCCTGTTCCTGCCACCTGCTTGGTTGATCCTAAGCCCATTCTCTCCAGGATTCAGTGTCTGAAGAGCCTGCCAGCACTTCCTGCTCTGTGCAGCTTAATTCTCATGGGGAATTGCCTAACTTCTGGTATGCCTCCCACCTTCTTGGCTCTACTGCTGCATGCAATTCTCTCTCCAGCTTGAGCTATAGACTCAGGTCACCTTTTCTTATAGCCTTGTCACATGACTATCAACTGACTTTCCTTCTCCCCATTTCCCATCAGTGCTTACTTGAGCTTGATTATGTGATCTTTCAGGGGATTCATGGTCCTAAATAATTGATTTTACAAGGTCAGAGTCTTGGAACAGACTAGCTAATATTGGACTACAACTGTTTCTAAAGGGGATAGATTGCTTGGCTTCATATAAAAGAAAATATGAGCATGAAATTCTCCTTTTCTTGTCTGCTGAGCCATATTGTGTTAAATTACAGCTCTAGGAGCTTACTCTAAACATACAGGTTCACTATAGAATGCTTATATGGAAGGAGTAATTCTGAAATATGGACATCTTAATTTTAATAAACTTTCACATAGTATTCTGGTTTCCACTAGGGATGTTGAAAAGCAGTTACATGCATCTTCAGTGCAGGGTGGCATTTAAGCCTACTCCCAGCATGTACTGGCTCCTGCCTGCTGGCCCTGCTCCTGGGGAGCTGGCAGCCGCCCCATGCTGCTGCCACCTCTGATACACAGCCAGCAGCACGGAGTGGCAGCCGACTT